CGGGGGGGGGGGGGGGTCGAACCAAATGCAGCTAGATGCGTCGGATGCGGCTCCAGACATTACAACGACATCTTCGGTACGATCGGCATACCAGCAATTTTCGGAAACCCGTGAAGCCGTCGCCTGTGTGACCAATCTATTGAGACAGGTCCAATAGGTCGACTTTTCAGTCTACCCTCCCGTTTTCTTCAGCTTCTAGGGTTGTGCTGTTGGACAAAGTGAAGTTCTTAATAGTGTTCACTATGATCCTTCATGGAAGGTAGAGTGGAATGTCTGATGCATTCTGACAAATACAATCATGTGGATATCAATTAGATTTTCACAAGAGACTCAACTAAATTTTTCGTTTATGATATTTCTCAACTGAGTGTGTTCAACAAAGACCGCCTCATGTTTTAGATGGCACAGCATTCGAGGTATCGCAGTATATTTTCTTGAAGGGAACTACTCACGGGGTTGCTGATAAGCCCGATAAGCCCCAAGAAGGGCGTAACCGGTCATGGGCTGTCGAAGAGTTTTCAGCAACCTTGTAAATAATTTCACTTTTTGATGCATTCTCTGCGGGTGCACACCTTAAGTGCGGTAGATAATAATGGGTGTTAATGTACTCCGTGCTTTTAGGCCATTAGCCGAATGACCAATAAACTTGATTTATTCGAACGCGTACATCTCCCAGTTACGCTGTGTACAGCTTGCGTTCGTGCTTTTCACGAATGGATATGTTAGGATCGTCTGATCAGTTTAACCCTCAGCGTTGTATCAGGATATTACGAATAAATCTTTGTGCATGCTGATTGCACACGTGGAGCTGTTATATATATATACAATACTAATGTGTTTCTCCTAATCAGCTGATGAGTGTTTATCCCATGCAACGCAACCTCTAAATCGTTGCTCGTCTTGAAAATTTTTATTTTTGGCTAGTCGTCACGACTGCACAGAAGATACACATAGGATCAACCAAAATTCTGGTTTCTAATGTTTCATTTGCTACATTCATTGGATGTGGATCATTTGTGATTTGGAGTTGTTGACACACGCTTAGGCTTCTTTCTCTCTTGAACTGCCTTGAAAATTTTGCCGATTGTTTGCACACATACTTGTCGCCTGATACAGTTGATGCAAACAATATAACCAGATTATCGATTAATATCACCTTTCGGTCCATCACGCTTAGCGACCTTGTCACACTCCGTTCGATGACTGAGTTCCCAAAGTTCAGTTCTTATGCTAATCTACTCCACGTGTAGAATTTCGACGTGATTGTTTATTTTTACTTCTATCGTTTAAGCTTTTGCAATGGGACAATACAGCTATTCTACGTGTTCTCGTATAGGATTTGTAACGTAGGACACTGGAACAGCCCTTCTGAGTGCCGAAAGTTTTTGATTTTTTTCTGTATTTGGGTATTCAGCACTACCGATCATCTTGTGTAAACCAGTGTACCTCGCGTGCGTTGTGAAACAATTCAGCGAGTTAATTCAATCAGATTGCTGCCCTATTCACATCCAGTGGTGGTTTTAGGGTTGTCTCCTGCAGACGTTTGGTGAATAAATTGAAGTTTCGCTTTAACAGCTTGTCCCTGCGATGGGAAATTGCTGGATTTTGTCGAATGTTCCTGTGTGCGCGTTCTCGCCACTACTTCGCTCATTTTAGCTGCGTTTCGCGATATGAAGATAAATCATGAGTTTAGCTAACCCACATGCTCTTTTGCTGTATTTTTTCGCTCCACAATCGACATTACGGTGGCTGCGTATAAATTGTGTTTTAGAAGGTCCGTTGGGTGGTTTTTGAAATGTAGAATATGGTACACAAAGGAGACGACGAGTACGAAATCGTAAACCTCAAGCGCCTATCTGCATGCTTGGATTGTTACATGGAGCATGCTGTTCTAGTGCAATCACTGATAACTTTTGATTTTATCTCTCGTACTGCTGCAAGCACGACTGGAGAATGCCAACTTCGTTGAGTTGCAACTTCGGCCAGTTGCTAACAGTTGGATATCGTTGTCCAAAATCAGAAAGATGACTATCTCCTTTGGGCATCAATGCAGCCTGTCTGTGCAGCCATATGAAATTCAAGGGCAGAGATACTAGCGCTTCCTAAATTGATGGTTTAAACTCGCAGATTGAATTTCGAACTGAGCATGTGGAGTGAAGAACACAAGCATGGTCAACAGTGACACTGTGTAACAATGATGCTTCGTTGACGCGCAGTTTCACACTCTGTGACAAAATCGGGAATGGATGGAGGTTGGGGGAAACCTAGTGTTTGTTTACCACAAACATTTCCTACCTCCACTACTCGGCCGAAATACGTAGACAGAACAGATTGCGGTAGTTTCATTTACATTCACTCTCAAATGAATAAACCACGAGAAAAGTGCTTCTTAGGTTAACTTGTGAAATAAAGTCATAAACCAATGTATCAAATTCACAAATGTCATGGGTCACAGCGTCCTGAAAATGATGGTCCCAAGCGAGATGTGCTCATGTGTGGATCCATATCGGATTCCAATAGCAAACACCACAAACCGATCAAACATCTGAGTGGTCCACGTCTTTCCGGACAGTATGGATTCATGTTTTCAGCGGACTATCTAGGTGGTGTCACCCTTCGAGGCAGGTTTTAGGTTCTAGTATTCGGTTGGTTACTTCACTTTCTTGGCATTTCAAGAATTGACCAATTCATTCATGGCGGCTTTTCTCTGAATACCGAAGTAAAGTGGGTGAATTTCTTTGCTGCACCTTGTCTTTTATCACATACGTCTGTGGTCGAAACCATGACCAGATCCGACGAACGAGGCGCTTTCGAACCGAGCTCTTGTCATCTTGTACTCGTGCCCGTATCCCTCTTTGTGGTGTGTCACATTACACAGAATTGCCTTTGATTATATGTATACGGGCGTCATCTTGGGCTGAATTGAGGACACACTGTTTATTCTTGTCTACTTCTTCAGGACTTTGAGGAATCGCTGGCTTCGCGTAAGCGGTTTTCGCGGAGGGAAATGTCTCATGTTCTGTTGGAGCGCAACTACTACAAGGAACAACTTTTAGAGTTGCAAGATACCGTACGATGGACAGAAATGTTACGCGCAGAACAACGGAATCGGGCGGAAACCCTGCGATTTCGGAGACGTAGTCGTATATGGGACATGTGCGTGATTCGCTTTTGTGTACCAGTTACATCCTCTTCTGTCCACTAGCATAGCGTTCACAATCAGATTAACGTGTTGACTAGCAGAATGGCAATGATAACAATGACAAATTATTGGGTGCCGTCCTGCCTGGAGAAGTCGTGTTGCTAGAAGATTGAGACGTTGAAAAACAGGATTTCTTTCTAAATCATATAGCCTGTTATTTGAAATTAAAAAAATCCGTTTAGTTTTGCACACTACCATCTACCTTTACTTCTATGAAAAGTGGTTCCCCTAGTAACATCGAATGGAGTTTGGTTACTGCTTCGGATCTTGACTCAGCATGAACTGATATATTATGCGTTTCATAATCAAACCAAAGCTCCTTTGTCGTGAGCCTAGACTGTCCTTAACCATCGGTTTTTTGAATTGTGGCTGCACGAACTGTTTGATGTTAAAATTGGTGAAGCTCGCGAGACCAAACAAGCAGGATATTGGTTTGTAAATTGATTGATTGTTTGTGTCGGCATCGCATGTTTTAAAAAGGCATCCCCGATGATTGGAGTTTCAAGGCATTGTCTCGTTTTCCCTCAGGACCGCTTTGTTAATGATTTTATATCAAGTAGTTTAGTCACTGTTTGAAAGCTGATTTTAACGTGAATGACTCACGATAGTCGGATTGGTTTGGTCCCATTTTCCGCTGAATAAACATTACTCGCTAGCATATTTTACTGTGTCGGTCCTCTTGTGTACGTTTCATTTCATCGCTGTTAGTTTCAACCACCTGCCCGATTCGCCAATGAATTATTACCCACTTAGTTTTATCATTCCTTCACTGTACTGGTCGTCCCACCCATCAGATGTCACTAGTGAGTTGCCCCAGTCTGCTAGATTCACACAATGATCCTAACTGGGCCACTGTGAGTCAAACTACGGTTTTCAATCATTGAGTTCCCCAAGATATTATTTTATTCTTTCAAGAACATCAATCCAACTGTGCTCAATTACTTCGGATGACAGGTGTGCTGGTCACGGACCCCGTTGATTGGGTCACACCATGACTGAGGACTCTTGACCTTTTTGGGTCATTTTCACTCAGTCACGCGCCTGCAGGGAACATCCGAGTTTGATCAAACAATATCTTGACTACGACCCAGGAATACATTAAACAGCAAGATTGGTCACTTCTTCAACTGCCGCTGCTCCTCACAGAGATCACGTTGTTCGGGACAATGACACACCTAGTAATTGATCCCTAATCTCCCGGTTTCAACAAGTCGTCAACTAGAATCGCGCAAGCTCATTTGCTGCATCGTTGAATGAATACGACAACTGGAACCATTTTACTCAATTCTCGACATGGCCGATGCATTGCACCGTGCTGCACATTCACATGTGAGGGTTCGAAAAAATACAGATGGCCGTGACATGGGAGATGGGTTTGTTAACCGATAGGTATTTTGGAGTTCTTGCATTATGACATCTGTTTTACCCAAGTATCTGAAGAGAATTCATCAGTTGCGTGCACAACCTAAAATCGTGATGAAACTGCGATGAACTTATCAATGAATCTTCAGATTTAGCTGTTTTTACTGCTCTTGCGTTCTCAAGCTAGCACTTTCATATAAAGGCCATTAACTTCTGCCGAATTGCTTGAAAGGCTTCATGTTTTTGAAACTTCAGATTCGCCAAGTTATTCACTCCTTCCAAGCGTCGTGATAGTGACGGTCCTTGGACAACTGAGCAACGAACGCCGTCTGCATTCCCAGCGGAATCGGCCACCGGTGTTGGACAGACCTTTGCCTACAGACCCACTCACGGCTGCACCACCGGTCCAAAAGGGGCTGTACCACTGACGTTTTCTGACACCAGGATAACGTGAGTATGATATTCTGACTTTCTTCAGAGGCTATCCCAATCCACTTGAGTATTCATTTTCTAGATTCCCAATGTCGCCTCGTGCTCTATGAAACTATTTTTTGTGTGTTTCTTAGACCAACAATTCAGAAGCGTTTCTCTCTGGATCTGGATTCAACACGCGAACGTTCCATCCATTCAAATGATTGGATTACTGTTCGACAACCCCATATCACCGAATGCTTGGAGTATCACGGCTTGCGGGCTCATCAACCCTCTGTCTGTTACATCCGTCCTGTCTGTGAGAATATTGCTGGCTTCAAGGTGTTCTATTTCGTTATGATACCTCAATTTTCTTGTACTATTCACTGTGGCTGTATCTTTTGACAATTATATGAACAGCTTAAAGTTGGATTCAGGCTTAGCACTAAGCATACACTTTTGTCACTCACATGCTGGTTTGCATCACATCGTCCATTTTCTGTGGATGTCGATTCGATTAAGAAATTCGAACTACCATCCAGTAGAACGGTGATTGCTTCCCGTTGATCATACTACCGGCTGAGTTTATAAGATTTACTGAAGCCCGCTTTGGCCATCTCTGCCTTGGCAGCGAAGTATAAAAGCAATTACCNCATCCAAGCTATTGCCTTCAATGCAAAGCTCCCATCTCAATTCCCCCGCTTTATAGTCGACTAACAGTGTTTTATTTCCGCACGAATTTATCAGCTCCCGCCTCCAATGCGGAGCCACCTACCCCACCTCTCCAAATCATTGGTTAACGAAAATGTGGCACCTAAAACCACTGTACGACAAGTACGAGGTTCTTACAACTGACAATGATGATGATGTGTCGTGTAATGCTTGTCCTGTGATCCTTTAGTTTACCTATCATTTGAGTTTACGCGGATTCACCTTAACCTGTCCGTTATATGTCTCAGTGACCAGTTTTTGCAGCCAGACACCGCTGGAACAATACGCGGTCAGGAGTTTGTATTCAGCTTAGGGAAATAAGAGTCCGTTTGTGACTGATCACGGTGTTACCGCATTATTTGGAATTACGCGTTGTAGCAATGTGGGCTCGCAATGGTGTCGGTATGCAAACGAGATCGAGTGCCATTTGAAACGAATCCGTTCACCTCTCACATCTCACGCGAGAGAACTTCAGAGACTTGCTGTCATGTGGCTTTTGCTTTGGGGATCCGCTTCACTGCCTTCGTGACCATCAGCTTTAAGAAACCACGTCCTTGCCGTACAGTGGCTACCATAATTCTGTTCGCCAATGATTTCGGAGATGAGGTAGATAGCTACGATTTGGGGGGCGGTAGCTTATATAATTGATGCGTAAATACAGAGTTGTCAGTGGACTTTTCACTGGAGAGATTGGGAGGGGAATTATGCATTGAAGGCAATAGCTTGCCTGCCATTGAGGGCACGACTGTGCCATGTCTGACAATGCCTCTAATCGTTGATGTGTCTCGTCTTGGGGTCCTATCCATGAGGACGGCAATGACGAGCGCAACTGAGTTAGCTGGGAATTGCTCTCATACTTCGCTGCCAAGTGATTGTTCTTCTCAATTCCCCCGCTTTACAGTCGACTAACAGTGTTTTATTTCCGCACCAATTTATCAGCTCCCGCCTCCAATGCGGAGCCACCTACCCCACCTCTCCAAATCATTGGTTAACGAAAATGTGGCACCTAAAACCACTGTACGACAAGTACGAGGTTCTTACAACTGACAATGATGATGATATGTCGTGTAATGCTTGTCCTGTGATCCTTTAGTTTACCTATCATTTGAGTTTACGCGGATTCACCTTAACCTGTCCGTTATATGTCTCAGTGACCAGTTTTTGCAGCCAGACACCGCTGGAACAATACGCGGTCAGGAGTTTGTATTCAGCTTAGGGAAATAAGAGTCCGTTTGTGACTGATCACGGTGTTACCGCATTATTTGGAATTACGCGTTGTAGCAATGTGGGCTCGCAATGGTGTCGGTATGCAAACGAGATCGAGTGCCATTTGAAACGAATCCGTTCACCTCTCACATCTCACGTGAGAGAACTTCAGAGACTTGCTGTCATGTGGCTTTTGCTTTGGGGATCCGCTTCACTGCCTTCGTGACCATCAGCTTTAAGAAACCACGTCCTTGCCGTACAGTGGCTACCATAATTCTGTTCGCCAATGATTTCGGAGATGAGGTAGATAGCTACGATTTGGGGGGCGGTAGCTTATATAATTGATGCGTAAATACAGAGTTGTCAGTGGACTTTTCACTGGAGAGATTGGGAGGGGAATTATGCATTGAAGGCAATAGCTTGCCTGCCATTGAGGGCACGACTGTGCCATGTCTGACAATGCCTCTAATCGTTGATGTGTCTCGTCTTGGGGTCCTATCCATGAGGACGGCAATGACGAGCGCAACTGAGTTAGCTGGGAATTGCTCTCATACTTCGCTGCCAAGTGATTGTTTAACTTTCCCTGACTTGTTTTCGCATTTCAGTTGGTTGCGCGAAGAGGGCTGTTTGAGGAATTCGGACGTCTGGCATACAGAGCACGTGACCAAGCCAGCGCAAACTGTGGAGTGTTATCAGTTAATCTTTCGTGGGCCAGTTATTCCTTCCGAAAACCATTCAAAGGTGTTCTCACCAGACTCGATCAGGGCTCCGACATCATCGATCATCAAACACTGAAAGTCCTTTGACGTTCTCGGCCAGGTTTCTGATCCGTGTAATAATGTGGGGCCCACTGCAGCCCAACCGTTGACGAATAAGCTAATGTGACGCCTACGCCACAGTCGATGCACGTTCAGAAAAGCTGCTCTGATCTTCCCTGTCGGGATAGAAACATCGTCTTTCGCGAGACCACCCGGGCTAATACAGCTGCCCGGGAAAAAATTGTTACTTCCATCGGTTCATTCGCAAGCATGGGGTTAGGGTTCGGGCCCACTTTACACTTTGCGGGTGTGAAGTGCATGCCAAACAGAGGCAGCATTATTTGGAATATTAAGTGTTGCCTGCTTTACGATAGCGTCGGATTCAAGAGAACTATGTCGTCTGTGTGCTCGATATCCGTGAGCTAATGCCTTGGGAGCACTCAACAGTCATGAGAAGCTGGTATTGATTGTTCCGTAATCTTATCAATGACAAATTTGAAGAGGAAAGGTGAAACAGGACAGCTTAGCCTGACATCATCTGATGTAGTGAACTCAGGCTGGAGTTGGCGTACAGCACCCCAAGGACGTTCAAAAATTTTAGGCGGACACCCTTGCTTCATAGGCACAGTCATAGTGCCTGATGGTCCACAGGTTCCAAGACTTCTTTCACGTCACAAAAAAAACACTATTGTTCGTTGCTGGAAGCCTTGTCGCTATTCCAGAATCTGTCGAATGGTAAAAATGTAATTGACGCATCCCCCTCCAGACGGAACGCAGCCTAGTTTTCTCGGATCAGTCTCTCCATGTTCAGTTCGCTTTCGAAGGATAAAACCAGAGAGCACATTCGGTGCCACAGCTACCAGGCTTATGCCACGGTGGTTTTCACATAGCGTCCGCGTACCCTTTTAGAAAACGGGTATAATTGTCGATATATCCCATTCTGTAGGCACGTTCTATTCATTCCATATCGCACCAGTGAGCTTCGTCAAATGGGTCACCAGTGGATCTCCACCTTCTTTGAAGCGAGATTGTTACAGGCCGTCCGGTCCTGGTGCCTTTTCGATACGGATATTTTCTATTCTGCTTCTTCTGATGGGCGATTAGGGTCTACAGGAGGCAACATAGCAGGAGGTCAGCTCAACTGTTGCTCGAAGTGTTCATCCCTTCTTTCCGGTCAGTGTTTTTGCGAGTGAAATAATTGACCGCCTTTTTTGCTTATTCCACTGATTCTGCCCCTTTTTGCCGGTCGATCGTATCAAATGGTACAGGGCGCGACTGTTTCCGTTAGCATACGTCTCTTCCATCTCCTGAGCTTCCGATATCCACATAACGGAGCTCGCCGTATTTTGACCGTGTTGGTCTTTCTGAAGGAATACACGTTACAATATCTATATCCTACAGGGTTATTGCGGCACACGGGACTGACAACCGCAACAGTTTATCGGCTTGATGTGTTTGTATGCATGGATATATATATATATATATA